CCCTATTCTCATGATTAAGGCCCCCTGTATGATAGGGGTGCATGCTTCGGAATTGACGAGTGCGACAGACGTCACTGGCCACCCCCAAAAAAACAAAGGCCCCCTGTGTTGTGCTCCTAAGCCCTAAACCCCATAAGCCCTAAATCCCTAAATACCTAAGCCCTAAACCCTAAACCCCTAAACCCTAAACCCCAAACCCTAACCCAAACCCCAAAAGCTCTCATCCGGCGAGGATTCTTCCGAGACACGGACGAGCAAACGAAGGCTTTGCTAAGGCAAACCTTAGCCCGACTCTTGGCCGCTACTTGGCTGAACCCTGAATGTAGCCCAAAAAGGGGGTTTAGGGTTTAGGGTTTAGGGGTTTAGGGTTTAGGGTTTAGGGTTTTAGGGATTTAGGGTTTATAGGGTTTAGGGGTTTAGGGTTTAGGGTTTAGGGTCGCTCCTCCCTGAATTAACGGAAGCTACAGGTGAGGGGTTTAGGGGTTTAGGGGTTTAGGGTTTAGGGTTTAGGGGTTTAGGGGTTTAGGGGTTTAGGGTTTAGGGTTTAGGGGTTTAGCGGTTTAGGGCTTTAGGGGAGTTTAGGGTATATAGGGCTTCAATAAGGCTTCCATATAAGGTATATAGACCTTCTATAAGGCTCCTATAATGGTAACTACCCACAGACTGAATGTAGCCCAAAAAGGACAGAAGCATAAGCATTGTATAGGGATCTCCCTACTTTATGGGGCTTCATTATAAGGGGGGTTATATTGGGAGGGACACTTACTGTAGGGGCCGAAAGACTCACCAATACTATTTTTTGTTGGGGTTCCTTATTGTAGTTATAGTATATTGGGCCCCAGAGCCCTGTTCTTCTTATTGAGGCCCCTACATTAGGTTGCCGAGTTTGAAGGAACCCTGCAACCCTAAACCCCTAAGCCCCAAGAAGGAGCCCTAAATACCCTAAACCCTAAACCCTAAACCCTAAACCCTAAACCCCCTAAAGAGCACCCTTAGGTCTCCCTTGCCAAGAGGAACCCGTAGAATTCCTCACCCAGGTTTAGGCTTTCGGGGTTTAGGGTACGGGGACCGGATCCAGAGCTGAGGGTTTAGGGGTTCGGGGTTTCGGGTTTAGGGTTTAGGGTTTAGGGGAACTTAGGGTTCAGGGTTTAGGTTTTTTAGGGCTTTCGGGGTTTAGGGCTGAGGGTGTTAGTCTGGGTGGATAGCTTTAACTTCCGGCTGCTATGGGGGTTTTCGAGTTTTGTATGTCTCCTTCGTGCGGTAAGAGGCCGCGCCGGGACTGGGGTGGGAAAGGGGCACTTCGGCAAAACCTCCGTCCTGCAAACGCTTCGGCTGCGTGCCGTGGCACGCAGGGAAGCGTTTAGGGTTTAGGGCTTGGGGTTTAGGGTCTAGGGTTTAGGGTTTCTGCATCGGCTTGAAGCCCGAAATCAAGGGTTTGATCATCGATGGGGCCTTTCAGATCAATTTCCGCACAGCAATCTAGCCTCCGCAGAGAGTCACCTGGCTTTTTCTACTACTTGGGCCATGTGGCACACGGCTAGTACAGAAGGCTAGCCGACATTCTGCCAGGGTTTAAGGTGTGGAGGGTTGTGAAGTGTTCAGGATTGGCACGGTTGCATAGGCGGTATAGTTTAGGGCTCTGACTGAATGGTAAGAGTCCAGGTGCGCTCTGAGGTTTAGGCTTTTGGGGCTCAGAGGCTTTACGTAGACTTTACGTATAATCATACTTACTCAGTCCCGTGCTCCGTTTACGTGTTTTCTTCCACGACAAACCCATAACCTAATTGGGTAGTTCTCTCCCTTTTAGCCGTACTGTTTGGGGGACCGAAACAAATTGAAAGCTACCCAAAGACAAACCGCAAACTGCAGAGCCCACCCGTTGAACCCCCTACGAACCTAAACCTTCACCGAGGTCTACTGGACAGCCACGGATCAGCCAGAGGCGGGAATTGACTGGCTCGAGCTCTTAAATTAGAATTTAGAGAGCATCTGGTCAGGGTTCAGGGCTTCGGGCTTGGAATGTCGTTTGAGGGGCTGGAGCTTAGGATTTGGGTTTAAGGGAATCTAGGGTGCACGTTTTGGGGGGTGACTTGAAGGGACTTAAGCTGACCTTCAATGCCGCAGTATCCTTCAGGTCTCAGAGAATGGAACGTCATATCAGTGCGTTCTAAGTAGTCGCATGAGGGCACCACTGACATACGCACTGTGTAAGAAGGAGACTCTTAGCCAGCACGGTAGCCGAAATGTTAACCGCCTTACCTAAACCCTAAACACTAAACCCTAAACCCTAAACCCTACAAGTCCTACAACTTAACACTTGAACCTTGAGGTCCTGCAAACCGTTGATCTGAAGCTTCAACCCTCAACTCCGAGCCCTAGTCCCTAGTTCACCGGCCCTGGTTTAGGGTTTAGGGTTTAGGGTTTAGGGTTTAGGGCCTGAAGCCACGAGCAACCCTGAACTACGAAGCAGTCTTAAGCCTTTAAGGCCCCCAGACCGCTTCCTCTCATGCCTCTAGCAGCCTCCTAAGGGTTTCGGATTTTATTTTAGGGTTCAGAGTTTAGTTTAGGGTTTAG